GTTTGTCAGAATACATTTTGCTCCATTTAATTTACATCCAGTAGCCTAGTTGCCTTCAGAACTTTTTCCTCAGACTTCCTGTAAACTAAACCTCTAGGCCTTGCAGAATCTCACTCATTTTCCCAGTGAAGATTCATGAGGTACTTTTGATGCTCTAGCTTGTCTTTGTAGCTTTTAAGCATACACTGATAGGGTGTGCATTACTGAGCTATTTGCACATTTCACAGGTACTCAGAGACATTAAACCTTTGGCTTTGTGCCTCACAATACACCCAAGGTGTGCCCCAAATGTTCTACTATTGCCCACCCTGATGTGGTTTATTTTGTATTATAACAGCCATGTAAAAACACTCTCTAGGAGACATAGCTAAGCTAGCAAAGGACAACCTCCTCCCTTCCCTACCACCCCATGGATGCAACTACGTTGACAGAAAAGTGCCTCTTGTGGCATAGGTAATGTTGTTCAGGATGGTGGTGGTCTTATGCTGGCAGAAAAACTCCTTTGGTTGGCGTTTATGGTGTGAACAAGGCCTAAATTTGACTAACATAGCTATTATAGTACATTTCACTGGGGTATACAAGGTCCTCAAAGCATTTGCTGCTATAGTAATGTCAATTAGGGTATGATTTTCTTATTGCACCATTTCTATACCAGCAAAAGTCCTACTATAGAAACAGATATACCAGCTTAAAACTGCTTAGAATCATAGAAATGTAGAACTGGAAGGGACCTTGAAAGGTCATTGAGTCCAGTCCCCTCCCTTCACAGCAGGACCAAGTACCATCCCTGACAGATTATTTTGCCCCAGATCCCTAGATGGCCCCCTCAATGATTGAACTCACAACCCTGGTTTAGCAAGCCCATGCTCAAACCACTGAGTGATCCCTCCACCCCTTGTATTGGTATAGCTTATTTTGCATGAAAAGTGGCACAAGCTATATCAACAAAAGCACATTTTTGCTAGTTTGAGTTATGCTTACATTAGCTATACTCTTGTACCTATAATGGCAAACCTTTTCTAGTATAGACCTGGTCGTGATTCAAAAACCAATAGATGCAAGATGCAATTTGCAGATGTGCCTGAGGAAGGCTTCTCAAGTTTGGATTTCCTTCCTTTCCCACTTAAGGAGGTTATATGACTTTCCCAAGCTCAGCAGGTGAATGAAGAGTAGAGCCCAGCTATCCTGACACACAGGCCTGTTTTGTATATGTATTGTACGCCCACTAGGGTTGCTGGAAATATGATGTCAAACGATGGCAGTATCACATTTCCTAAAACATCTAGAATGCACATTTTTGGTTACAACTGAACAATCCAACCATATGTTGTCAACCAACAGAATACAGCAATATTTTCTTCACTTCCTGTCCTAAACTGTTGGGTAATGTTGTGCACCATTAAGCCGATGCTATGGTGCATCTCAGAAATTGCTGCAGCTATTGAGAGTGTAAAATTGGTAAGGTGCTTTGTAACTGTTGGGGTAAAAAGCTACAATATATATATTAAAGGATTGTTTCTAATACACTATCTAGCCAATCATACTTTGATTTATACCTGATTTGATGCTGTGATTTTCAATAAATTATACAAAGGACCATAAAGAAAATCTCAACTATTTTGCCTTTTTTCCCCCCCTGTAAATGAGAACTAGTATATAAATCTAAGTATATAAAATGCTAATCACTCACCTAAAACAGCAATCAAAACAATTTATCCCGATTTTAAAAATACATGCATTGCTTTCTCCTGAATCATCCTTTGGATTAGGGCTTGATCCTGCTAACCCTTACTCAGGCAATTAAGGGTTTCCAGATTTGGGCCCTAGGATATGTGGTTTATGACTGATTTATAATCCATAGAATCTTTCTTCCCAAAGAACTTTACAAATTGTATACATCCAACACATCTAAAATGCAGTCATCATTGGGGGTGCATGGTGATAAACCCATCAGTATGCGGGACATCACAACAATTGTGCAAAGATGACATTTTTGCAAAGGACACTAAGTTAAATGTCTATGAAAAGAATACCATGGAATCTTTAATGTTCATACAGCACAGGCAGGACCTAAATTTTTAAGTTACCTTCAGAGAACCCTGTCTATACAACTCTGTATTAACATTTTATGGATGAAGGTCTGAGTCAGCCTTGCTGGGATTTGAATCTGTGATTCACAGTCTAGGTAAGTCAGACTGCAAGCTGAGACCCCTTACACCAGGAGTGGCCAACCTGAGCCTGAGAAGGAGCCAGGATTTACCAACGTACATTGCCAAAGAGCCATAGGGATACATCAGCAGCCCCCCCATCATCTCCCCCCTTCCTTGCCCACAGCGCCTCCCACTGTGGGCAGCCCCGCCAATCAGCACCTCCCCCCTCCCTCCCACCTGCTGCGATGAGCAGTTTCACAGCATGCAGCCAGGGCCCAGGGCCCAGGACACACACACCCCCTTCCGCCCATTCCTGCTGTGGAGCCACAGGTTGGCCACCCCTGCCCTACACCATCCCCTGAAGCAAGGAGAGAATTGGATCAGGTGATGCAGCTATATGGTTTCTGGAAAGGAATGGCAAACTTGCAACATTTCAGCTTTTTGCACACCTAAAACCCAGACATTTAAAAAAAAAACCCAACAAATACATTATGATGTCAGGATGAGTAAAATAAGGGTGGCTTAGAAAAGCCTTTAGCCTCTCACTTCAGGACATAAACAAACCACTAATTCCTGAAGTTAGGAAGAAACCCTTCCCTATGGGCAGTTTATTCCATAACTGTCCACTGTGGATTTTTTCCAGGTTTCTCTGGCACAGCTAGTACTGACCACCACCAGAGATGTTCATCAGATACAGGATGGAAATTCCTATGTTTCTACATCATGATGGGCCAATGAAGATGACAGAATACGCAGAAAAGGCAAAACTGTCAAAATGAGAGTGAAAACGCTAAGGAAAAGATTATATAAATGATAGCAATGCAAGCAACTCAACAAGTGAATCAAACAACTGAATCAAAATATATCTTATTTGTTAGAATAAAAAGTGTTTGGGCACTAGTTTAAGTGATACCTGTACTTTGAACTTGAATAATTAGAAGCTATCCTGATTGCCATTTTTATATAAACCATAGATGCAAAGTTTTCCATACTAAAGCTATCATTGTTTGCCATAGCTTCATGGAATAATGTTAGCCTTGTGCAGATGTTTCCTGACTTTTGCATCCATGATGTGTTAGCCATTTGATCTGTCATTAACAAGGTAGATACCTTTTTGCACATTAATTTATAAATATACAAACAAATTCCACAGATTCTATTTAATGAAAATTGTTATGCTATTGCCAGTGAAAGTGTATTAAGTTTTACAAACAGCAGGGTAGGCAAACTAGTGTGGGTGTGGGGGGGGATCTTACACCATTTGAAGTGTGGCAGAAATGTATTGCATATGTTCTGAAGCACGCTTGGTCATGATGGTTTGTATCTCAGCCTGAATGCTATTTTCACTTAGGTAAATTTGGGTGTATATATTTGTTGTTTCTCTTGAAACAGGAGGTTCTTGCACTTTGATAAATGGATTGAAAGGTTGATTGGATTGATATCATTTACTGTATAGTGTCTCTAATTCATACAATCTGTAGTCAAATTGAAATTCTTTATTACACAAATCACATAAACATCATTTGTTTTGCTCTTAGCAGTCTGCCCACTAATCCATCTCCAACAGGACTACTAGTAATATTTGAAGCTTCTGAGCAGGTTTCAAACTACCACCTTAAAACACAACCTGCCACAAAAATGTCCCCTCCCCACCACCCACACTAATATGGATCAGGTAAAAGCAGAGATTTAAAATTATAGTGGGACAAGTTTCACTTGCTATATTCAATCCTCAACCAAAAAAAGCTTTTATGGTCCAGTACCTCACAACCTGGACATAAACTGAAATGGGTGTAGAGTCTCCACAGAGCTGGGGCTGTGCTCCACACCAGACCCAATAGGGTGAGATAGGAGATTTACTTCCTCTTACTTAGATAAACTAGAAAGGCATAATTTAACCTATAAATGTCATGCCAGGTTATCTCTAATCTCAGTTTTTCATTGCTACACAACACCTGTTGCAATCCATGGAAGGTTACAAGATACAAGAGACGTGGGGCTTGTCTACACACAAATTGGAACTGAAACAAAATAAATTCTCACACCCTTAGTTATTTTGGTGCAAGTCTCTCTGTGAACAATTATTTCACACGAAGAGTGCCCTATTTTATTTTGTCTTTACCATTTTAAATCTGGCAGATCCAGGAATAAAGCCCAAGTCTCCTGGGTACAGTGGATATGATATGGGACCATACCAAATATAGCTGGGTTTGTGAAATGTGTAGTGAAATGAATAAGGAAGGACATAAAACTACCTCACAGGGCTGTTGTATCCAGTGTTTTTGTAGCCACGTCTGTCCCAGGATATTACAGAGGCAAGACAGGTGAGGTAATATTTTTTATAGGACTAACTTCTGTTGTTGAAAGAGAGAGAAGCTTTTGAATCTACACAGAGCTCTTCTTCAGGTCTCAGAAACTTACTTGGAATGTCACAGCTAAATACAAGGTAGAACAGATTGTTTAGTTTAAGTAGCTAACACATATTTCAGTGCCCATGCAGAACAAATTGGAGGATCAGTAAAAACAAAAACAAAACACATTTATGACTTGGAATACACATAGGGAGCAGATCTGCTGGGTAGAGACCATTTTAAAATAATTTTTCAGAGTAGCACCACGCCTTAACATGAAATTTAAATACAACAGATTGATAAACATGTCAATCTTTAAAGCTATTATAGTCATACTTAACTTCCTTAGAGAATGTTCTAGGCTTCATTAATTACTGTTTGCAAATTGCTGCAAGGTCTTTGGATGAAAGGCCACATTATCATAATTATTCTATTATATAATTGTAAAAGTTGGGTCTGTGTTCCCGCTATAGGCTTCCATTTTCAATAGTTATATTTAAAATTCAGCAATAATGTACAATTCCTATTTGAAATTTGTCACACAAAGCCACACCCTGTTTTAAAAACAATAGTCATTCCAGGTTCAGTAGCTTTTTGTGTTCAAATAATGCAAAACTAACTTCATTTCATTACACACGGTACACAAATACATCATAGCAACAGCTCCAAAAACAACATATTACATCTTCCAAATTATTTTTTTAAACTTGAAAACAATGCATAATAATGCCAAGCCAAGAGACAGATCTTAACTTATGGCTGAGGAGGAGAGGGCACAAAGGAGGTTGTATGGCCCCCCCTAATCCTGACATTGGCCATGTGCCAGTCTATTTTCCAGAGAGCTGAAGGCCAAGTGGCTGCTCTAAATTGTGATGTCTGCCAAGGGCCTCAAGAGGCCACCCTGACAATCAGAGATGTTCTAGGCATGATCCCTTCCCACTGGCCATGCTCTCTGAATAGCGGCCACCAGTGGTGGTGGTGATTAAGAGTTGCTATGGTGGCTTGACACCAGCTGATCTCTCTCTTTGCTGGGAAATCCATACATGGCTAATTAAGCTGGCTCCACAGAAGCTTTGAACAGGCTGACCAGCAAAAAGCTGCCCAAATGCATCAATGGATTAGGACCAGAGACTGTAATTGATTTTTATGAATGGGTGCTGTCTCAAGTATAGCCCAGATTTAGATACCCTTATTCATGCTAAATAGCACTTTACTCCACAAAAGGTCCTATTGAAACTAATGGTATTTACCTATACAGCAAGCTACTAAATATTGCTCCTAATCAAAATCTGACATTAACCTAAACATACAGATTTTAGGGCTAAATCTTATTCCCTTATTCACACAAGCAGATTGCCTACAATGAGAGGCAACCAAGAGATCCCTTAAGGGTGCTGGGGTTTTTCCTTTTATATTCAACAGTTACCCTTTACTCTTCTTGCAGAAACAAGACCATATCCTATTCCTCTATGCATTATTATTTTTTCAAGTTCTGAAAGTGACCTCAGAACCGGCTCTTTATTTTTATTGGCAGAAAATGGAGATGATAAAAAGGTAGCCTATTTAAAAATTAACTGGATTAGAGTTAAGGACATTACCTCAATGTTTTTAATAATTTATGAGAAGTGAAGAAGGCCATGTGCTCTCCAACACTAGAAGGGTTGATTCTGGAAAGCAACAGCAAAGCCATCAGGAAGGAAGGAAATTTTACTTATTTCCTTTAAAAGAACTCTCATTCTGTGTGCTTCAGAAATGGGTGAGATTTGAAATGAGCACTGTAGAAATTCCAGATTCAAATTTGGATTTCAACTTTACCACAGCTCAGGGGTACTGAGACTGGGGGCACGTCTACACTGGCAAAGTTACAGCGCCACTCAGAGAGCGCCGAAGGAAAACCGGTGCTGTGCTTTCACTCTGACAGCTGTCTGCACAATAGTGTGTTCACACTTGCGGCGCTATTTGGAGCAGTGCACTTTGGGCAGCTATCCCATAGAGCACCTCTTTCTCATTTGTTGCTAAGACTTCTGGGAAGGTGGGGGGCGGTCGTGGGGCATCCTGGGTCCTGTCCCAATGCCCCGTGATGCATTGCTTTGCACTCCAGCAATCCCTGTGCTTCCGTCCGCATTTGGCGCCATCTTTCAACGATTTTTCAGGCTGCAGGAATGGATCCCGAGCTGTTGACCAGTATGCTGCTCGCACTGACCAACACGTCATGAGTGGCAGTGGAGTTATTCCTTAAACTACAAAGTCAAGAGGAGCGTGACGTTGATCTTGCTACGCGTAATAGCTACGACACGAGATTGCTTGTGGCATTCACGGAGGTGCTGACCACAGTGGAATGCCACTTTGGGCTCGGGAAACAAGCACTGAGTGGTGGGACCACATAGTGATGCATGTCTGGGATGACGAACAGTGGCTGCAGAACTTTCGCATGAGGAAAGCCACATTCATGGGACTGTGATGAGCTCACCCCAGCCCTGCGGCACAAGGACACGAGAATGAGAGCTGCCCTGTCACTGAAGAAGTGCGTGGCGATTGCATTGTGGAAGCCGGCTACTCCAGACTGCTACCAATCGGTCGCTAACCAATTGGAGTCGTGTTGATGGCAGTGTGCAAGGGCCATTAATTGCATCCTGCTCCAAGACCATGACTCTGGGCAACGTATGTGACATTGTGGATGGCTTTGCACAAATGGAAGGGCAATCGATGGCACACACATTCCAATTCTGGCACCAGACCACCTAGCCACCCAGTACATAAATCGCAAGGGGTATTTCTCAATGGTTCTCCAGGCACTCGTGGATCATCATGCGTGTTTCAGATATTAACGCAGGCTGGTCCGGAAAGGTGAATGACGCACGCATCTTTCGGAACACTGGTCTGTTCAAGAAGTTGCAAGCAGGGGCTTTCTTCCCTGATCAGAAGATCACTGTAGGAGAAGTAGAAATGCCCATTGTGATCCTGGGAGACCCCGCTTATCCCTTAATGCCGTGGCTCATGAAGCTATACACGGGGCAACTTGATAGCAGCAAGGAGCGGTTCAACAACAGGCTGAGCAAGTGCAGAATGACTGTGGAGTGTGCATTTGGCCGTTTAAAAGCCCATTGGCAATGCCTGTATGGGAAGCTGGACATGGCCGAGGACAATATTCCTATGCTTATAGCCGCACGCTGTATGCTCCATAATATTTGGGAAGGGAGAAAGCTTCGCTCAGGGCTGGACCACGGAGGCTCAGCACCTGGAGGCTGAGTTTGAACAGCCAAAGACCAGGGCTATTAGAGGGGCCCAGCAC